CAATAATAATAACAATAATTAGCCAACGTGCAGGCTGCCCATGCGAAGATGCCTTTTTTTGCATAGTTTCCAGCAGTTTTTGTCGCTACCGGCATCAGTTTTTTCGGCAAATATTTCTAGCTAAACAAATTAAGACTGGCCGCCAGAAGTGGCAGGAAACACCCCCTTAAAATTTCAGCTTTCTAGTTTTTCTGGCTCCTGAGTTAGCAACTTACTGGAAGAAAACTTTCACGGGCCCGTACGCGGGTACCACGCGTACCCGATGTCTGGGTCTGAGCTCGTTGAGACTTAAGTGGACGGGGAACATCCTCTTAAAACTACAGTCTTCTAGCTTTTCAGGTTCCCGAGCTAGCAACTTACCCAAGAAAAAGTTTGGTGGGCCCGTGCGTGGGTACCAAGCATACCTGAGGGCTGATATTGAGCTCAACGAGACTAATGTGGACGGGAAACATCCTCTCAAAATTTCAGCTTTCTAGCTTTTCTGATTCGCGAGTTACGAATTTACCCGAAAAAAATTTGGCGAATTCGTACGCGGGTACCACGCTCATCCGAAGGCTGGGTTTGGGTTCATTAATACCTACATGAACGGGAAATATCCCCTTAAAATTTCAGTCTTCTAGCATTTCTTATTTCCAAGTTAGCAGCTTACCCGTAAAAGACGTTGGCGGGCTCTTACATGGGACCACGCGCGTAAGAACCGCCCATTTCGGGGATGGGGGCCCGTACATGCACATAGATTACGTTCCCAAAGTTTCAGCTCTGTAGCTTTTGCCGGTCTCGAGATGAAAAATCGGTACAGACGGACACACAGACACACGCACAGATAACCCCTCGTCAGTATGCGGTTTTTGCGTTGCGCAGCTGCAAAAAACGCACAAAAATTAATGGGCAATAATTGCAAAAAATATCAATCGCAGCTGTAGAAAATGAGATTTGTTCCGTTTTTTTTTAAATTTTTATTTTGCAAAAATTTTTCATTCTGCTCGCCCTCTTTCTCTTCTCTCGACTTTTTGTTGGTTTTTGTAGGAACAGTTCCCAGAAGCTGTCCTAAAAACGTATGTGGTCATCTAGCCAATCTATACAAGATAGCCACTAATCATATTGTAATCACTAGAGCGATTTCGTGCGTATTTCATGTGCCGTTATTTGTACATGTAACTGAAGGGGGAGGCCTCCCTGTATTTGATGTGTCAGCATGATAACGACGACCTGATACATGCCTTACATAGTTAGCTGCATGTTTTCATTGATTTCTAATACCAAAAGTTGATTATGTTGTGGAATGCGGTGATGTGGTGATTAGTGGTCCGCTATTTTCATACTCGAAACATGATACTTATTACTGGAAAAACAAGCCTTTTGCGTACTTTTTTTATGCGGTCAAACGTGTGTTTTTCTGAAAGCCAGGAAACGGACATCTCTAGAAAATCTATAAAAATATACGAATATGATTTTTAAAAATAATATGAAAAGATATAGAAATCTCTGCAGCCTTACTGTAAGGAAATTTTGAATCGACAACCCTGTTAGCGACTGATTGCCGTTGGCACTTGTTACCATTCGG